TCCTTAATGTTAGTGTACTTCACGCCCTGGTAGGCATACAGCATCTTGTTCGCTGCTGGGCTAGGGTGTTCCAAGGGGAAGGGAGAAGGGCACGGCGCAGCGTCAGCCTGTTCTCCGCGGCTACGCGGACAAGACAATCGTAATTTGTCGCGCGCGGCGTACCGTGCGGCTGCGCGGCGAATTCTGGATGTGTATCAGCTTGCCGATTAAGCTGTCGTATGATTCCGTGAGGGGCAAAATTGAATTTTCCTTCACTTCAGCACTCAAATTCAGGAAGGGCAACTCGTCTGTCGGCGCTCGCCACACCCACCAGCGCGCCATATTACGATTGTCTTGTCACATACCCGTTCTCTGCTAATTGTGAAAGATGGTAGCCTACCACAATTGGTGGAAAGAGGCTGGTCTTCCGCCAAACCCAACGCTACTGAAATGCCCTGGCATCTGTTGCGACCAAGACTGTATGTTGTGGCTTAACTCTGCTGGCAGGTGCCCCTCCCGAGGCACATGGTGCCTGTTTAGACTTTTTGTTGTGATCTGATTGATTAGATTCATATATTAAGGGTAGCGAACAGGTAATTGAAGTGACTGAGGCTGCACAGAAACCGCTCGTGCTGGACAAGCTCGAACCAACTCAACGTTACCATATCTCAGTTCGGAATGAATCTCTCGAGCTTGGGCTGAGTTCTGCGGTCATTCAACTCGAACAGATCACACGTAAGTAGACATTGGAACTACTGCAACTCCTACAATTGCAGAAAAATCGGCTAAATTTTCGCGTAGTTATAACCACCAATTTTCATGTAGTTGTAACCAGTTACTGCTTTTTGTTCGATTAACTAGGAATTGCTATTCAGCTCCGATAATCTCATCCATGATATCACCCGGGAAAATCACGTCAACATCAATCAACATCAATTTTGGTGATTCCGACATCGAGCAAGGGCGATTCGACTACTACGAGCTCGTCTTCACGGGGAACAACAAGAACATCACGAAAAAGATCGAAATCAACCACGAGTCAGTTGTCTTTCATAGCTGTTAATCCCTTCTCGTAGTTTCTGGTAAGGCCTTGAAAAGAATGATAGTTTGCTCTTCCCCACTCAACTGACCCCGAATGCAGCTCCTTTTTTTTTTTTGGCAACACTGCTCATGATTGACGACTGACTATACTGAAAATCTGGGAGATATGGCAGGCGTGGCTGCGTACTCGAATTGAGTGTAGCGGTTGCCAAGGTTTTCGTGAGATATTTTCATTTTGGAACAGTTGTAATCATGTCTTTGTCCAACACAGAACAGGATGACAGTTGTCTCAAATTGAAATATCTCACGAGTAATCCATCCTATGCCATTTTCAAATGCCACGCCTACTCTGCCTCAAGGATAGGAAGGGTAACTGGGTCATTGGGATTTTCGGCACGACGCTTGGCTGGCCCAAATATGTACAGTCTTGTTCACTGCGCACGTTGGGCACGACGCCAGCCTGTTTTCCACCTACTATTGCCACTTGTCCGCTCCAACAGTTCGTGGAGAAGGGAATGGTGACGCGCCAAACGTGTCGCGGCTGGGTTTGGCGTGCTGCCTTGGACTACAGTAAGTACTAGGTGCCTAGTACTTGTGTGTGCACCTGAAAGCGCCCTCTCACCACTACATGTCCAGGTGAGAGACTGCGGTTCTCAATGAAACCTTTCATGGGTGCACCTTAGAAGCTACTTTGAAAACGGCTGCTGCCTTCCAGCTAATGTTCCAGTTTGCTTACTTCAAAAAATAAGGGGTAATCTTGTTTACTTCCATTTATGATTGTTATTTTTCCAGTAAATCGCTGACATTTACGAAGCTGATTCCCGGCAAGACCTATTTGTTCACGCTCTACACTGTCTACAAGAGAGTGCGAAGTCGTCCAGTCACCGAGGCGATAACTACGTGTACGTTTTACAGAGTCTATGTCCAGAGTTCTAGAGTCACCAGTATCTTCTGTCTCTGCCAGATACCTCGACAGAGAAACAGACAGCAAGCGGTAAAAATTTGAAATCTGCATTTTTTAGATCCTTTGAAAGTGAATGCATTGTATCCTGTGGTGGGCCGAGAATATGTTGTGCTCTACTGGGATATCGATAACTTTGCTGACAGCGACTGTCGCTTTCGTTTGAGGTATCCTTTCTGATATTCCTCAAAAATAGATCGCAGTTCTTGCCTCGTGAGGTTGGCGAATATTAGTATAGAAGCCCCGTTCAGTTTTGTCTAAAATGCGGTCGTTTCTGACCAACAAAAGAGGTAGATTGAAGGAGCAGTCTACGCTGGCCGTGTAGGCGGAATTAGGCCCGTCATTGAGTCTCCTTCGACGTGTGGCTCCGTTATAGCCTTGCTTCCTCTTCGTTCGTAATGAGGGGGTACGCCAATGAGGACAACGAAATGACAGGCTTGCCTCACCCGTAAACAGCGCAGAATGTGCCTTGAAAGGCCCACCATATCTCTCAAAGACGTTGTGAATGGGGTGGGGGTTGTATTTGCTCGCTGTTGGAGGAGGGTCGTTTCCCTCCCCCGCTTTTGACGGGCTCCTGAGAAAGTTTGC